GCCCGGCGGCGGCGCCGCCGCGCGCCACGTCGGCGGCGGCCAGGCGGCGCTGCTGGATTGGGCCTTGGCGGTCGGCGTGCACCAACTCGTGGGCCGCCCCTGCAGCGGCTTGCTACCGGGCTGGATACACTCGCTGGCCCTCCAGTGCGCGCATGCTGCCGAGGTCTCCGGCCTGCCGCTGCCCGCCGCCGAGGCGCTCGCGCTTGCAGACGCAGTCGGGGACCCAGCCGCGGCACCCGCCGGGCAGCTGAGCGCGGCGCTCGACCTGGTGTGGCGCGCGCGGCTCGCGGCGGCGTGCGTGCTGCTGCAGCCGGCGCCGGCGCGCGGCGCAGACGGGCAGGGCGTGCGATCGCCGCCGCGCCTGCCGTCGCCAGAGGACGCGGAGGCGTGGGCCGAGGTCGTGCGGCGGCGGCTGCCGCCGCTGGGACGCCTGACGGGCCTGGAAGCTGACGAGGCGGCGGTTAAGGCATGCCTGCGCCGCCACGCGGCGGCGCTGCAGCCTGTGACCTCGCTGCACGCATCCGCTGGGTCGTCCGAGCCGCCGCAGGGTTGGCCGCAGGCACCGGGGGCCCTCGCGCCACCGCCCGACGCGGCGTTCAAAATCTGCCTGGCGCGCGCCGACGACGCCGCGGCGGGCGCCGCCGGCGGCGAGGGGCTGCAGCGCGTGGGGTCGCTCGTGCAGTCGCTCCTGTCGTTCCGGCGCCGCGCGAGCGCGGACGCCGGGGCGGGCGGGTCCCCGCTTGCGCGGGGGCCGCGGCCGGCGTCGCCCGCTGGGGATGCCCGGCAGCGGCAGCAGCAGCAGCAGGAGGAGCAGCAGCAGCACGGATTGCTAGGGTTCCCGTGGGACGTGGCCGTGACGGACGCGGGCGACCGAATCCGCAGCGTCGCGGCCGCGCGCGGCGCCGGCTACGCCGTCGGCCCGGCCGCCGCCCTCCGCCGGCCATTTGCGTTCGCGACGCAGCGCGGCGGCATCCGCCGCAGCGAGCTGGCGGCGCCCGCCGGCGAGGCGGCGGCGGCGGCGGCGGCGGCAGCAGCAGCAGCAGCGGGCGACGATTTGCAGCAGGGCGGGTCGCTGCTCTCAGGCCTCATGCAGCAGGTGCAGAGAGGCACAGGCGCCGCCGCGACGCGCGCCGCACTCCACTCGTGCTGAAGCTGCGGCCCCCGATGCGATCAACGGAAGCAACGCATCCATTGTGCTGACCTCTCATCACTGCTAACTGCCACCAGCTGATGCCGGCTAGCGACCGCTCACAACTGCTAATACTTGCCACCACCTGCTGCTAACTGCCGCCAACCGCTGCTAACCGCAGGTGCTCGACCACGTTCGGTGGCCGCCCGACCCCTGGGTCGTGGGGGAGTACCCCAACCGCCGCAGTCACTCCTTTGGCACCGCGGCCCTCTCGCAGGTGCGCAGCAGCTGCCCCAGGCTGACCCGCCTGCCCAACTGCCGCCGTCGCGCATTCATACGACACGCGCCCTGTCGCACCACCTGGCCTGTTTCGTCAGCAGCTGTCGTTTTAAAAATACGACAAAGAAGTCTTACGCGCCCGCGCCCCTCTGTGGGACCACGCCAAACAGGTCACCGCGGCGGCCCTGGCGGCGCACCCCCAGCGGCCGCTGTTTGTCAGCGGCGCGGCCAGCGGGCACATCTACATCTGGCAGTTTGACTCGGATGGCAGCAAGGCGGCCTACGTGCCTGCCACCGCACAGGTGGGGGCGTGCGCGTGAGAAATGACTTCACCCATGCGGCAAAGCTCCATCTTGCTCTTTCACAACAGCACGAGCGCAGACACCCGCTGACTTGGTTTTGGGGGGGGGGATCATCCTTCGAACGGGGGATGGTATATTTTGGGGGGGGGGAGACCCTGAAGGCTGCTGGGATTGTGCGGGATTTTGGGAGGAATCAGATTTGAGTGACGCGGAAGCTGCCGCCTTCTGTGCTGCGGTGCCATGATGAGCCGACGGCTCGCATGGTCACTCACTCGCCCCGCCCCCCCACTGCCTCGCGCCGCCCTGCGCCGCCCTGGCTCCCCCCCGCAAGCATCGCAGCAGCGCTCGCCCCTGTCGCACCCCAGCTGCTGATTAATAAATGACTGTTTTGCTCTCGTCATTCATTATGCATAACGCGCCCCGTCCCGCGCCCCGCAGGCCTCCAAGCGCACCCCCGCGTTCGAGGCCGTCGCGACCCCCCACTGGGGCGCCCCCGCCGCGCTCCGCTTCAGCCGCAGCGGCGCGCGCTTCGGCGCCGTCGGGGACGGCGGGTTGGTCGGGCTGTGGCGGCAGGACTTTATTAGCGCGTCAGACGGGCTGGGGCACGCGGAGTGGGTGGCGCACTGCGTGGCGCGGCATGGGGCGGACATCGACTTCCTCGGGGACACGGGCAGCCAGGTAGGGTGTGTGTGTTGTTGTTTGATGCTGCATGGAACGCTGCCACTGAGGAAGCTCGCATAGATGTGAGCATGAGAGAGAGTGTGTGTGTGTGTGTGTGTTTGTGTTTGTGTGTGTGTGTGTGTGTGTGTGCGCGCGCGCGTGCACTGTGTAAGCGTGTGCGCTGGCTCTGTGTGTGTGTGTGTGTGTGTGTGCGTGTGGGCTGTGTGCGTCTGCGCTGTGTGGGTGGGTGTGTTGGCCGGGGGCTCGCCTCCGCACGGGGGAGGCAGGAGTGCGGGGGCGCCGGCCACGACGGCTTGGCCTGGCGCGGACCGCGCTATGTGTATGTGTGCGCTGCTCCGCATTGAGCCGCGCGCAGACGTTTTGCTCCGAAGCGTGCGGTTTCACGCGCACCGCCGACCGGCCCCGCGACAGCGACAGTCGCCCACTCGCAAGTCGGCACACCTGAGGGCGTCCTCCCTCCAGCAAGGCGCACGCCCACACACGCACGCGCACGCGCGCACACGCGCGCACGCACACACACACACACACACACACACATACACACACACATACACACACACAAATACACACACATACACATTTTCACATCACACATACACACGCGCCTGTCTCTGCCACCAGATTATTGTGGCGGGCCAGGGCGACAAGGGCGGCGTCGTGGCCCTCTGGGACACCCTCGCCCCGCCCTCCTCCGCTTGCGCTGCGGAGGTGCGCCTCAAGGGCCGAGCGACCCCCACACGCGTGGCGCTCCTGCCCTCCTGCGCCGGCGGCCCCGGGCCGGGGGCGCTGCTGATTGTCGGCGACGACTCGGGGGCGGTTACTGCCTTGGACGTACGCATGCTGTCCGAGGGGCGCCAGCTGTGGGCTGCGTCGCCGCACCCGGGCGGCGGCGGGGTCGCCGCGCTGGCCGCGTGGGATGGGGAGGCGTGCGGCCCGCTGACGCCGGCGGCGCGGCGGGCGCCGGCGATGCGGCTATCGGATGTCGTCGTTTCTGGGGGGCGGGATGGCAGCATCGTCGCCATCAACGTACACAGCGGCAGCAGCGTGCAGGTGCTGGAGCGCGCGCACTATACAGAGCGCCGC